CAGTATCAGTCCAGTATGCTATCGACTATCTATAGACCTAGTGCTTATAAAAGAACTTATGTCCTAACTTAAATATTTCTGTATTGCAGTTGAAGCTGACCGTGTTCCGGCCGGAGCCGGTGCAGTACGAGGATGTGGAGGTGGAGCTGGCGAGGAAGGCGGGACGAGTGCTGGGACTGACTTGTGTCGCGCCAGTGCAGGGGACTGGCGTCTACATTGGAGACCTGGTGAGTTACACATCATGCATGCCAGTCTGCTGGAAGAGCATGCCTGTACGAGACAGTACGAGACGTGACAGTGTCCAGCTAACCCCTACAACCCTTACTTGTAAGCATAGCTGTCACAAAATCTCATATTATGACAGTTGTAGTGTCCGCGTTAACATCTTAGCAGTGTAGGGGAAATATCCTCTTTATGTGCGTCTACTCCTCTGTCAGATATAGGGACGCAACGCATCTGCAATTGCGGATGTCTATGGGCAACGGTCGCTTCGCCATTTTGGCGGATTTAGGTGGCCGCTTGCTCGTTTGCCACCTTTTGATATAAAAAAAGCTACTTGCTTTATAGAACTCCAGTTAGCGTTTATGCCCGGTTCACACTTGCCCAGTTCACATTCGAGTAGCAGCGAATGCATGGATAGGCGAAAATTAGTGTTCATATTACGCCATTTGAATGCAAATCCAGTTATTAAACGCTGTCTTACTGTACTGGCCAAGTGTGAATCAGAAAATTTCCTGCAGCTGGTGGTACGTGATTGCAAATGTGCCAGATATATTATAAGTGTGAACTAGTCATAAAATATAATTTTTTCCAGCTGCCCGGCTCTCCTGCAGAAGTTGACGGTAGAATTCAAAAAGGTGACTTGTTAGTGTCAGTCGACGGTAAGGATTTGACGGGAGCGGACTACATCGCGGCTGCGACGGCATTAAAATTATGCGCCAATAAAACCGTAATTAAAGTGAAAAGATTTAAAATAATTAGTAAATAAATTGACAATGCAAAAGTGACTTTATTACGTTTGAATTAAGTTTTATTTCTATGTGTTATTGACGTTTTTATTTTAGTGTAAATATGAATTACTTTTGAGTGCCGTAAATGTGATTTATTTAATACAATTTTAGTTTTAAAGAACAGTGAAATCTCGATTTAATTTCGTAAGCAACAAGGTTTATTTTTCTAATTCTGTTTATTTTTATTGTAATGCATTGTACTTATTTGTTCAATTTTAAATTTGTATTTCTAATATTATAAAATGTAATTATCGAGCTGCGAGCGAGTTTAGACTTTAACACCATTGTTTAGGGCACATTTTATATTTTATTAATTATAAATATTCTTTTATTATTTTGCATTTTAATTTTGAAATCGATTAAAAATTATCATTTTTTGAATTCCTCAAATGTTATTGAATTATGTTATTTATGCTGTTTACAATAAGGTTTGTTTTGCCTTTGTGTAACCAATAACCTATGTAGATTTTTAATAAATAAAAAATAATGCACCAGTAATTTAACCAAATAAAGTACAATTTAAAGCTTTCTAATAAATTCAATATATAATTTTACATTTTTATGTGAACGTGTGCAGATTTTTATCAAGCAAAATTAAGCTTTATTCTATTGTAATAAGATTTAATTTTACTTTACTCTTGCTTATGAGAAAATTCTTGCTATATATTAAATCTAATTTCAATTGGATAAAGGTCAGTGTTCAAGGAGTTTTTACACGTTTTTAGCCAAAATGTATATCGTAAAAGATTTAGAAATAAAACTATTTTTAACGGAGACATGTGTAATGATAAAATATGTACAGAAAAAGGACTATAAAAAAGTGATGACGTCGACAATGTGTTCTAATTTTGAATAATTCAATTTCTTCTTCTTTTCTAATGGCTTGACTCTAAAAACGTGTAAAAACTCCTTGAACAGTCAGTTTTATTTGCGATAAATAAACGTTCTGGTCGACGAACCCAAGTACTTTGCCAAAGTGTAATGCACTAGAGATAAATATTTTATTTATAGTACAATAGAAAATAATAATTAAAAGTGAATAGACAATAAGAAGTTTGTTTTTATTACGGCTTTTAATACGAGTATTAAAATATAGAGATAAAGCTTAGATAGTTTTAGAATTTTCTAGAAATAAATCAGTTTTGTTGCCGAAACATTTATAGAAACAGACTCTTGACAACAACGGCCGAATATTGAAACGACAGTAACATATGAAAGAATGTCTACAGCCACGTTTCATTTCTGAATAACACTATTTTGATCAGATTGTAAATTTACGCGAAGTATTATATTCGTTTCAAAATTCAGCCATGAGAGATGTTTCTGTATATGTTTTTCGACAATGGAAACAACTTCTTGGACTAGAAATTGTATGTTGCCATATAAATTAAACATTAAAAGTACATTAAAAAAATATTGCACTGAATAACTAATATCTAGTTACACGTAGTTTTGGAATTAAGAACCAAATACTGTCTCTCTCTAATAAGTGAAAATGTAATGAGACAACACTATGATAAAAATAATGAATCTAAGAAATAATGTTCGGATAGTTACTTAATTTTGTAACTAGATGGCGCTGTATTATATTTTATGAAAAATTAATTGTCGATTTGTTGGTTTAAATAAATTTGCCAACAAAAAATATGAAATATACGTATTATCTAAAATTTAAATGACTTAAACGTTTGTAAATAAGTTTCTAACACATTAGAAAGCTAGCTGCAACATTAATCGATCAATTATGATATTTAAAAAAAATATAGACAACATCGATTCTTTATTGTTTAAATATATTTTTTTTAATTAGTTAAAGGCATACACATAAATAAGATATTAAAAACAGCTAAATATATTTTTTAACCAATTCTTGTATGATAATTGTATTTGCAACAAGATTACTTGTAATAATCACCTTTAAAATTAGTTTTAATAATTAAAATCCTATTTAACTGATGAAACATAGCTTTTTTGTTATTATTGTTCATTTATTTTGTTTCAATATGCACACTGTACAGTCAGCTTCATAAATATGTAACCATTTACAAAACTTAAAGGTCTTCGGTTTCGAAAATTGTTATTCACGTCAATACCTTGAATTTTAAGTTCCAAGCATACATATTTGTACATTTATATTTTTAAAACTGAAGACGTATAAAAGTTCTAAAACTTTGTACACGTATACAAATTTGTTAAGCTAACTGTACTTTTACGTGTGTCCTGTTTTTGCCAGCGATCAAAATTTGTAACATTAAAAACGAAAATAAAAAAACTTAAGTTAAAACCAATATAGATAATTAAATGACACTGTAGTTAAGTACAGCGTAGCCTAATTCTAAATCATTGTAAATTGTAAAAAAAAATAAAAAAAAACATCCTCTTCCTGGTAACAATGTAAACATATTGTATATACCATAAGTATTGTAATTCATATAGCAACACTTTTGTAGATTACATCTTTTGCCAATTTTATATTCCATATATAATTGTAGACATAATGCAGGTTACACACGTTAGGTTTCACAAGACGTTTTTGTTGTGGGGTTTAGATTGTTTTTTTAATTCACTAATATTTTTTGTTTTATTCTAAGCTTGTGGCAGAACATTATTTGCAATAGTCGGTCGAGATTAGAATTAAATATTAGGCATATGGTTGACATCCTCTGTAGTCTATAGTAAACTTTAGTGTGTATTTCCACTACCCTATTATTTATAATAATAAATATAGTAGTCTACGGTTTATCAAAGAAAATGAAGGGGACAGTTATGTTTGAAAGCCAAAGTTATCTTGTAATGTGAAAAAATCTGTTATGCCAGTCACATGCAAAACCGTCATGTATTCTAACGTGTGTAGCCGACATAAGTAATGCCTTTCCTTCTTGATGTAGATTAAAAATATAGATAATTAAAAAATAAATATGTGCCACAGATTATATTTCGAATTTTTGACAGATGCAGCATTTTGTACGTATTTTATTTTGATAATCAGACATTTTAGGAAATAAATCTTTGCCTTGTAATTAATTGTTATTAATCAATCGCTTTCTCTTCTCTTATTGTAGTTAAATTTAATTATTTATTATATAAGTTTAGTGAAAAAATACGTAGAGAAATTGAACTTTTAATATTAACGTAGATTAAAGAATAGAAGTGTTTCGATTTTATAGCGACTTTGAAAATATTACAAGTTTATATGTTTAATTCGTGCTGTTTGAACCGTGGGTTTTCACTGCTGAGGACATGTACAAACATGTATTGCTGTCTCTGTTTTATTCAATATGAGAGAGCGAGATGGCACTATTTTTCTTTCAACAGTGAAAGCCCGTAGTTTATGTTTATTCGTAAAACAATGCGACCTACTGGAAATACAACAATGTAATAAATTGTGCGCTTTTTAATATTTTGTTTTATTTCATTACGTTGTTTCATGCGAAAAGATATATTTTTAACGAGCTGTTGCCTGCGACTTCGTCCGCGTAGTATTAGAAAACATACTAACTATATAAATAACGAAAACCTACGTATCCCTCGGGAACCGGACATTTCTCGGGGTTGAACCATGTGTAGTCATGCGTACTTCAGAATTTGATTTATATCTGTGCCAAATTTTAAAAGGATATGTTGAACCGTTGCAGAATGATCGAGTAAACATTAAAAAACTAAATTAATGAATCCCAAGGGAACCGTAACTATTCCCGGGAAAAAAAGTAGCCTATGTGTTCTTCCAGACTATGTTCTAAACCTGTGCCAAATTCTGAAGATCCGTTCAGCCGTTTAGGCTACAAACGCTAACAAACATCCATCTATCCATCTATCTAAACTTACGCATTTATAATATTAGTAAGATAACTTAAAAAAATTACATCCCCTTTAAAAACAATTTTTGATAATTTCAAATTCTATTAAAAATTGTACACACCTCCATGAAATTCTTAGGAATCAAAGCTAGACAAAACAGTTGTGCGATAGTTTAGTTAAAGGTGTGCGCGCGCTCTAAGAACGTTCTATATGTCGGAATCAATGCAACACTAGCGCCAGCATTGCAATACCAGCGACATTGCGGCAGTAAAGAGTACTACGTAACGCCAGCGCCGCCTGTCGGCGTTTGACTTCGCACTTCATCATCATAGTGGCTGTGAGCATCATAGTGGCTGTGAGCTGTGAGAAGGAATGCAATGCAATTGTTTCGTGGCTGTCAGCGAGATCGGTGCCGTTGAAACCATCACGCATTACGGACTCTGCCAGTCTGCAATGGAAACATATCTCCAGCGACAAGGAAACTCACTATTGACATCGGAATCACCTACCCTCAACTACGACATATATATGTATAACTGTTATAGACGTAAAAATGTTTAGACAGATTTGTTTACTTATTTATCTTTTCCCTTAAATTTGTTATGCTTAAAAATATAAAAAGGGAATAATTACAAAAATGTTTCATTAAATATCTTTATTTCACACTTTTGACTAGACATAGTACAACTATTACAAATTGATCATACCGTTCGTTTCCACTGGCGAAACATTTACACAAAACATATTGCCATTTCAATTATTTCCTTTAACAAAACAGAGATAACAACAACTGTGTTAAAACAATTGCTACTAAAGTTATAACTCTCGATTATTTTAGTACTCGTATATTTAGAGACAATTTAGAGTCCTTTAATAGTTAAGTACAATCGCTTTATAAATCTACACTAAGCGGCACTCTTAGTGACGACTAAATGACTCTGGGTGTAATATTTACACTTAAATGAAAACGGTGGATAACAAATTGCATAAACTTATAAATCTAAATATTCGTTGTTAAAAACAGATTGATAAGATTCAGATATGACGGCTGACATGTAGGGAAGAGCACATACTGTGCCGACCCTCTATAAGGGCATAGTCCATCTATAAGGGCATAGCCCAGGATAAGGGCAAGTCGATGATGATTCGTTATTAAAAAGTACATGTGTTAATTTTAATATTTTGAGACATACATAACAAATATTTTTTTTTAACCAATAACTGCTCGTCTGTAGCAGGCCTTATGTCATATTTATTTTGTCAAAGTACAGGTATTCAATTGTCAATAATTTTTCCAACAAAAAAGCAAAACTGTAATTTTTTGAGTTAAAGTCATTTCCAATTTAACTATAGCTTAGCTTCTACTTATTTACAACTTAACTAACATTTTAGTCCTTAACTTACTCTAGTCGTTTTAAATCGAAATTTTATAGAATGAATTAACTAACAAATATCGGATTAAGTTGAAAATGGTAACACTTGTATAAAATAGAAACTTAAAATTATAAATAAGTTAGTAAAGATAACGAAACAAATATCTTTTAGCAATTATAAAGATCATACCATAGACTTACAACATATAGATAGAATGGTTTACACAACTTTGATGTCATGATATAAATGACAACTCTGACCATTTGTTTACACCTCACTTGTGATCAAGATAAAGTATCAATAAGTAACATTTATAAATCACACATTGAAATAAAAAAAAGTACAATGTACTATTTTTTCCAATATCTGTAGCACCAAGTACATGTTAAAGCGTAACTTTAAATAAAATAAAAGCATTTGATTTCAAATAGTTTCAAGTATATCGTCAAATATATTATATAAATACCAACGGGCGTTTCCCGTTGGGCCGATCGAATCCAAAGAATCAATTGACCCAATGAATAATTCCCATTGGACCGATTGATCGGTAATCCAATAGGAGTAACGAGAAACAAAGATATTCAGAACTAGAAGTGCCTTGATAGCATGGATTTAAAAATAATTTAATGATAGAGAAAGAACGTAAAATGAAAGAGAGAGATAAGGCGATATATGAGAGAGAAAGATATAATCATGATTAATTTGTAAAAGGTCCTTTTCGAGGTTTTTTTAAGTCATTATAAATACCAAATAATAGGAAATCATGATCAATAGGAAACCAGCTTAAAATCATGAGTCACATATTTTAAAGTGCACAAAAGTGCACATAAGACCTCATTTTTTAAGTCAAAATGAATTGCGGGGCACAAAATACCTTTTTTCTAAGCTCACAGTCTTTCGTCGGAACTCTTCCTTATAACTAAAGGCTTCAATCTACTTCTAAGTTTGACCAATCGTTTACTCGCTTTAACATTCGACGTAGGATTCCTTAGATCGGGCATTGATTTACTTTCATGAACTGGCGGTGGCTCCAATGGTTTCAAACCTCCATAGTATCTCGGCATACTGAAATCATTCTCTTGGAACATTAACGCTGTCTTCTGTTTTATACTCTGCAAGCTAGTTTCGCCCTTATATTCAGGTAAAGAAGGACTATCCGCGAAGAATCTTGGTAGGTTGTTACTCCTAATAATAGGTGTGTCTGGGAGTTGACTTAATTTCAATTCGTTCTCTGCTAATGACGTCACTCCTACTGTCGATTTACTCTTCATTAGAGGAGGTTTAGTTGGTGTTAAATGTTCTGGAATGTTCAAGAAAGATGCGCTTCTGTGTGGTACTCTCGCTAGTACCTTGTTTATCTTATTAGGATCAATATTCTTGAGACTTTCCACTCTACTCAATGTCGATTTTAGGAGTTTGTTACTGTCAACTCTTTCTAAAGTCCTTACACTATCGCTTCTGTTAATATCTGTTTTCTGTCTTAAAATACCTTTGACACTTTCAACTCTTGGTAGAGATAGATTGGTTGGTAGTTGTACAACTGATATCGGGTCGTATTGGTATATTGAATTGGGTGTCGTCATTTTTGGTTCTCCTTTCAAAGTCACCGTACTCGGTTTGATTACGTCTTGTTTCTTAACTGATACGCTCATTGTAAGTCCTTCTTCTGTATCTTGACTCTTACTATCTTCTTCTTCTTCGTCTATTTTAAACATATCATAGCTAGCTAGAAGTTCGTCTTTGAACATAATCTCAAAATCAGTAACGGGTGAGTCCACTTCGTCTTCGAAGTAGACCTTCGTTCTGTTCGGTCTATCGGAGAGGTAGTCTGGTTCCGATTTGGTCTCGACATCATCGAGGCTATCTAAACTTCCTTTAGATTTCAGCTCATGGTCTTCTCTGAATATCAGAGATTTTGAGAACACCTGAAATGTAAATAATAGTTGTTGTTTCAAATGGAATATATCATAATAAGCTAACTAGTATCTAACCGATCTTATAATCAAGATTTTCAAGATGGATAGATAGCCTAAACAGCTGAATGGATCTTGATGAAATTTGACAGAATGGTACAGGGTAGTCTGGAAGAATACATAGGCTAATTGCTTTTGTTTTGTTTTTTAATTTCAAGCGGACGGAGTCGCGGGCGAAAACTAGTGTTACATATTGATAGATACGAATAAATTCGATTTTCCTATTAAAAGTACGGAAAAGCGTAATATAAAGTAACGATGAAACATACTTCGTAAATCTTATCAGCATGTATAGGCATCTCTTTCACCTCCCTTCCCACCACAGCTGTAGGAGGGAGATGGTTGTTGTTGTATGGCTGCTGCGTCACCACGCTCTCCAGACTGGCGCCCAGGTTGGTGACGCCATTCGTGTATACTGACGTTACATTGTCGTCCAACCTGAAGACAAGCATTGGTTAGTAACGGATTGTATACATTGAAGAAATTCTAGTTAAGCATGGTTCACACTTTGCCAGGACAGTTGCCCAATAACTGGACTGTCAATCAACTGGCACCAGATAATCCATACAATCTATGACTGGCAGTCCCAACTGTCTAAGTGAAGTAAGGCTAAGTGTAAACCGGTGATTGAAATTGTTAGATTTCTTGACTTATAATCCGATGTTGCTTGCTCTTTGTGAAACAGTGGTTAGTTAGTTCTACAAGTGGGTACCTAAATGTGTTGCCATAGTAATTTACGATAAATACACAAAAGATAAAGTTAAAGTAAACAAGGATTAAATTTTATCAAATGTATTTGTACAAACAATATATTTGTTTTATGGCGCTTGCCCGATTACATCGTAAACGTAGACTTTGCTCAAAGATTTGTTTATTTATACAAATAAAATGTCATGACAATATTAATAAAACTTTAGTTTCTGTATTCTATCCTTCTATACAAATTATAACATTGGAGTGTCTGTTTTTAATATTAAAGGTGAATATCCAGATTTCGTGAAGATGGTGTATTTGCGTTTGCTGATAACGAAAATCGCATTAATTTTTTTTGTCTGTCTCTCTGTCTGCAAGCCGCGTTTGTTCCGGGTAATCTCCGAAACGGCTGGGTCGATTTCGACTGGACTTTGACTGGTGGGTAGCTGACAGACGGGCATATTATAGGCTACTTTTTTAAAAATTCCGCCCTGTCAACATGGCAACCTGACCGCTATCTCTGGAACGGGTGGACCGATTTGGACGGGACTTTCACTGGAAGGTAGCTGGTAAAAAGTAGATGAGCGCGGGAATGTTATTGACGTGATTTTTTTTTGATTCCACGCTAACGAAGTTTCTGGTCGTACCTAAATAAATTGATAAATACTGTTTAAGTAGGACACGCATTTTTTCATAAATGTTATTTATTGGTCCATCGCATTTCGCCCTAAAAGCGTCAATGGCTAAGGAGTTTCACCCTTAACTTGTTATCTTGGGTTCGAATCCTGCCATGTACCAATTTTAATTTCGAATTTAATATGTACATAATTTACCCAACGTCCTTACGGTGAAGGAAAACATCGTGAAGCCTGCACATATCAGCGAAGAAATTCAAAGATATGTGTTGAAGTCAACCCGCTGTGCAGCGTGGTTGACTATGGCCTAGTCACCACCTTTTTTTGCCCGAGGGGAATGCCACTAAACCCCTCGGTTCCTCCAACGCCTTAAGCCGGGGTTACGGGCACGGTTACACTTACGTCC